ATTCTTTTCAAGCGTACGTAATAAATATTGCACAATTTGCGACACATCAAACAGCGAAGCGATGGCCTATTTGCAGGAAAAAAGAATATATTTTTCAGTCTTGAATAACTATGCTACAGTAAAATATTTATTTTTTAAATTTAATACCACAATCCCTTCTTCTGCACCTGTGGAACGGGTGTTTAGTAGCGGAAACCAAATTCTGACACCAAGAAGAAATCATTTTGGTGACAATACGTTCGGAATGTTAATTTAAAAAATTTCATTAAACAATACATAAAAAAATATATAAATATGTTTTCAGTTATTTTATTCGCCAAAGCTTCAAAAAGTATCTGTTTTCTTGTATCTGTATCTAGATACATTTCGAAAAAATCAAAAACAATCTGTATCTAGATAATTTTAAAAGTATCTGTCCCCAACACTGATTAGTATAGTGGACCAAGAGTTATAAGGTTATATGGCCATCATAAAATCATCCCATTGTGTCGAAGTGAAGTTGTTTACAATAGAAAAGGTTTTAGGGTCGTAAATAACCTGTCCACTGCAGCTCGACCGTCTATTTTGGTTTCGTTCAGGGGCGGCTTTCACTAAATATGAAAATCCACCACTCTACTATTTCTTTACTACCTGTAGCCGCTGAGGGTTCCGAAATAACCACTCGCTCTGAAAGCCGGCTCTGTTAAATGTGAGCAAGAAATGTTTAGAAGACGATTTATTGCCAACCGGTAAGGTTAGTGCGAACCACACAAAGGGGGTATTTATTTGCGGTCAACTACTTTTATGATGGTCATATAACCTTATACCTTTTGGACAAGTATAGTAGTAAGTGTTTATTTTTTTACCCTAAGGGCTTAAAAAGATTCTTGACACTACAATTTTTTTCCCTAGTTAACAAAAACCAAATAAATACATTTTATAAACTAAATAACTAATTTTTCTTTCCTTTACCCCATCCCCCCTTGCCCCAGCCTTACTCTTGTCCTCTCCACTTCTTTCATCCATTCCACCCCTCTTCCGTCTTCATTCAATATCTCTGTCACACTCTCCTCTCTTTCTTTGCTCTCCTCACAGTCATGCAGCATGTGCTCTATCGTCTCTCGCCCTTCTCCACACATCCTACACATTCTCTCACCTTTCGCGCTTTCTCTGTCTAGGTACTTTGGTATTGTTTCTGTTATTATCTTTCTATAGTCTGCATTGTACCTAGAATTACTTACACTCGCTCTTCTCTCTTGTTTATCTATGTCTCTGTCACGCATACACAACTCTTCTCTCATACTCACCCCCATTTCTCTCTTTCTCTCTATTTCCATCCATGCGTATCCCAGTCTTTCATCATATCCTTGTCTACCCTTGTGATGTTCTTTCCCTGCTTCCTTTTTTTTTCCTTCTAGCATTCATACAATACCCTACATTCCTCTCTTTCTTTCAATCTTTCATCATACTTTACAGCTCCTTTCCCAGTGTATACTCTTAGTTTCTCTCGTTTACATTCTTCTCTTACTATATAGCCTGGCGTCTCTTTCCGTAGCCCTAACATCCACCTCAAATATTTTTCTTGTACTCCTTCAATCTCTGCTTATTCCTTCCATCCCCATATCTCCACTCCATACATTAATACACTCCTAACTAAACTATCAAACATTTTCATCCTTCTTCTTACGTCATGTCCAAATATTCTCTCACCTATACTCCACACCATTCCCATTATCTGCATTGCTTTGACCCTTCTTTCTCTTATGTGTGCTTTTACCGTGTTAGTTGTTGTAAACTTAAATCCTAAATATTTAAACTCCTTTATTGTATCTATGATTCGATCTTCCCAACGCCACACTTTTTCCTCCCCTTTTCTCCCTTTTTTTCTAACCACCATCATTTTGTTTTTTCTACATTTACCTCCAGTTTCTTTCTTTTAAAGTATCTTTGCAGATTTTTTTTCATTTTATTCATTCCACATTCATCCTTCGCCAATATTACCAAATCATCTGCAAATGCCAAACACCATACCTTTTCTCTCCCCACCACAATTCGTCCCGCTTGTACTCCTCTAAACATTTCCTCGATATCGCTTATGTAACAAGCAAACAGACTAGGACTTAATGGGCATCCCTGTCTCAATCCTTTCGTAGTCCAAAACATTTCGCTTTCTATTCCTCGCACTCTCACACTAGTCACTGTCTCTCTATAAATCTCTCTTGCTGCTACAATTAACTTTTCACTCAGTCCTCTTCTTTCCATGCATTCCCACAAACACTCTCTGTCCACCGTATCAAACGCGGCTTTTAGGTCTACAAACAGTGCATATACCCGACCTCCTTCCTTTAGCAACTCTTTTTCTATTAGATGATGCAGGATATATACATTGTCCATAGCCCCTCTACCTCTTCTAAATCCCGCTTGACTTTCCGGTAATATACTCTTTTCGCTCATCTCTGTCACCAACCTTTCATTTAACACCATTGCGTACAGTTTATATGCCGTATTGAGAAGAGTTATTCCCCGATAATTCTCTACTTTTTCTTTACTGCCCTTTTTATGAATTGGGCATATTTGTCCTACTCTCCATTCCCTGGGAAAACCTTTACCCGTCCACACATCATTCATTAACTCGCTCAATCTTTCAATCATCCCATCCGTCCCAAATATCCACACTTCGTTTACCAACCCATCCCTCCCCGGTGCTTTTCCCCTTTTCAGTCTTCCTACTTGTTTTCCTACTTCCTCTACTCGAATTTCCGCTTCCCTTTCTCTACCACCAATCCCGGTTTTACTATCTTGCACTACAATTCTCTCTTCCTTTCCATTCAACAGTTTCATAAAATGCTTCTTCCACTGTATTATAGGTATGTCTTCACTAATCGTGATTTTGTTCTTCCGTTCTTTATTTATATACTGCCATACCTCTTGCTCAGTTCTTATGGCTTTAATTTTTTCTTCTTCTTCTTGCTGTATCTCTTCTTTCTTTTCTTTGCATCGTTTTCTATAATTATTTTTTGCTTGCCAGTACTCTTCTTTTAACCTTTCCCCTTTTCCACCTTCGTAAACATTTCCTTGCTTCTGTTTTTAAATCTCTGCATCTGCTATCCACCATTTGTTTCTCTTTTCTGAATTTGTCGTTACAATTTCTTTTCTTATGGCTGCTTTTTCAATTTCTCTTTTTAATTCTTCCATTTTCTTTTCAGTTCCTTTTCTTTAAATTCCACTTCCAACATTTTTTTTTTATAATGCTCAATTCCTTTTTCATTCCATACCCATATCTTCTTCTCTTTTCCTACTTCATTCCTTAAGCATCCGCTCCCTCTACTTATGCCCCTCACTTTTACTTCTAGTGGCATGTGATCGGAGTTCACTCTTTCTCCTATCTTGAATGTTTCTACCTCTTCTTTTGCTAATCCGTTTACTATTACGTAGTCTATTACCGATTCCCCTCTTTTACCTATCCAGGTAAACTCCCCCTCCTCGTCCCCTTCCTTCACCCCATTCAAGACTTCCCAACCTCTTTCTTCAATTAATTCCCATAGCAATTTTCCGTCTTTATTTTCTACTTTATCTTTCGATTTTCGTGTGTTTTCCCCGTCTTTTTCCCTGCTTTTGTTCCCTATTCTGGCATTAAAGTCCCCTCCTAACAATAGAAATTCTTCTTCGGACTCTTCTATTTTTTCTTGTATTTCTTGTTTCGTGTTTCTCATTCCTCTACTATATATTGTACAGATTCTCCATCTTTTTTTATTTACAATCAGTTTTCTTTCAACTAGGCCTTCCATTTCTATTGCCCCCTCTCCTATTTCTTTTATATCTTTCTTCACTCCTGTTATGATTCCACCTTTTGCTCTACCCTTGCGTTTTTCTTTTTTTGCCCCTTGCAATTTCCACTGAAATTCCTTTGGTAACACGTCTTTCAGTTTCTTTCAGTCTCTCTCTAGTATCCATGTTTCTGTTAGTCCCACAAAATCAAAATTTTTCACGTAGTTCCAAAATAAGTTATCTTTCTTTTTCAAACCCGCAATATTCCAAAAGAGTAATTTTAAACCATTTTTATCTTCCCCATTCTTCTTTCCCATTCCCCTATTATGTACAAAATCTACATTCTTAAACCTAAAGTCTTTATTTGTCCCATCATTACTACCCCCCCCCCCCTTTGTGTTTCTTTCTTCGGTTAGTGCTGACCTGATTTGAGAAATTTTTCTTCCAATTTTCCTTTATTTTCATTCCATATATACATTTTGTCCCCTACTTCCAGCTTCTTATATCCCATCCTTGTTGTGTATCCTTTTTTTCTTTCCTCTTTAGCTATCTCCCTAATTCCTTTTTGAATTGTTTGCTCTTGTACTGTCCAATCAATATCAATATATGTATATTCTCTTTCCCCTCAGTTTATTTTTATTCTTCATCACCTCTTGTTTTTCCTCCCAAAGCGTCTTAACCAGTATTTTCTTGCTTTCCTCTTTCCCTATAATTATGTTTTCAACACTTTTAGTTCTACCTCAATTTCTTTTTTCAAATTTTCCTCTACTTCTGTTGCATCTGTTCTTTCCCTTATTTCCATACCCGTAATTATGAAATTGTTTCTTCTTTCTTGCCTCTCTTTCTTTTCCACCTTCTTCTCTGAATTATTGATTCTTTCTTCGAAGCTTCTCTCCTTTTGTTACCATTCTTCTCTTTCTCTTTCCAGTATTCCATTTATTGTCTGTAATTCTTGTCACTGATTAGTACTTACTGGTGTCACTGTGATGTTCGATTGGAGCAAGTCCGTTTCTGACGTAATCTTCTTCTTATTTTTGTTTGGGCTACCTGTAGCTGAAAAATTTACCACAGGAATGTACACATAAGCACAAGCACTTTACTGCGGTTAATCTTTTACTTTATCGCCGCTTGCACTATCGTGTCGTCACACTTAATTATTATTTAAAATATTTTATCATTTCGTATAGCTAATACAAGTAGCAGCACTTCAGAAGCAATTTCACGAGCGTAAACTTACCGTAATTTTAACAACAATGGGAAGTAAGTTATTCTTGTTCAAAAAACTTTCGCCTGCACGATTCATTATAGACATTTAATATTTTTTCAGTCGCTGAAATTTGTCAGTTTACGCTTCTGCAAACACCACTCCACCCTTTAATCCTCATAGTTTCCTACCTTTTATTCGTGCTCAAACTGGGACCAATCTGGATGAAGAACAGGCAGCAGTTTGAGATGAAAAAAGTCCTGATGTTGTACAACACGTCTCAAATATTTTTCAACGCGTCCCTCTTCGTTGAGGTGAGTTAAAAAAGGTGATGCTAATTTTTTTTACCAAAATTTCAGTTAGTGCCACTTTTATTCAAATTAAATCTTTTCTGTGGACCCATTGAAAAGTCAGAACTTACAATGTATTCCACATTGATGGTACTTTGTTACAAGTACATCTTGCTCAAAGTGTATGATATGGTAGAGACGGTAAATCCATCAACTCTTGGTGATATAAGTACCTATAATAGGGACGTATTTTTCCAGGGATTTTTCGTCCTCCGAAAAAGTCATAGGCAAATAACCTTTCTACATGTTTATCATCATGTTGTAATATTTGGTACATCTTGGATATGCGCCAAATATTTTTTAGAAAGTAGGAAGTACCCTCTGGGCCCAATTTTGGTTTTTGGTGTTTGGAATACGTTTGTGCATTCCTTAATGTACACATACTACTTGCTCAGTATTAACGGAAGTTTAAGACAATTATGGTGGAAGAAGTGCATCACTTTGCTACAACTTGTATGTACACTGTTACATCTTCACCTAGAATATATACATGTATGGTATTTTAGGCTCAGCACTCTACGATGCTTGTTACCACTGCCGTTGACGCAATAAATGATAAATGTCCGTATCCAATGCACATGCAATTGGTTGGCCTAATTAATTTCTCACTCATGGTTTATCTCTTTAGCAGATTTTACCTGGAAGCTTATTGCGCCAAAAACAAAAATTTTGACAGAATTGGCGCTTCGGGAATGTTACTCACACTTCCACGTAATCATTCGGAATAGTAATAAAAATTGTACACGCTGGTGAAAGTTTGTAGTCAGTTTACTTAATATATTGGTTTTTGTTCTTATTTTGCAGCCTTTGTTTACAATATTTCTCCTGATCCAAATTTTATTTAATCCCCGACTTTATACAAAGTCTCTGAATAGTAAGCAGTGCTTTAATACTCTACAAACTGGATGTTTTAGGTTCTTCTTAAAGAAATTCCTTTTTTCAAAGAAGGCTTAAAACCCTTACATTGTTTCCCAAATTGTTCATACATATGTTAGAATTTTCGAGGTCATCTAGAACCCTATAAATTTTTTATTGTAATAAAGGCAACTTTTTTGGTAGTGCTCTACTACTACATTTAGGTATATACTGCCTCTACATCATATATTCCATTTTTAGAAAAGTAACTTTAGTTATACGTACTGAACCTTCTATAGTAAGTTATAAGCATTTTTGAAGCGTCCGTCTCTGTCTATAAATGACTAATAATAATACGCTGGATAATTAAACCGTCACCATTATCATTATCAAGTGCTAGTTCACAATATACAGTATCTACTAGTTTTGTTTATTTTTACTTTTCATGGTCATGCCTATCAATATTATCCATTCACGATCTTTATACCTATAGTAAAGTAGGCTTTGATATTTTTTCTTTAAGTTGGATTAAGTGATTTGATGATTTAGTTTTTTGTCTGTCAGTAGTCTGACTGACATTTGCTTTGAGCTGGATTGCCACTTTTCTACTTCATTTATATCTGGCAAGCGAAAACCAACGGATTTATTTACAAATTATATGTTTCGGAAAGACCTGCAACGACAAATTTGGCAACTTAATGAAAAAAACGAATATTTCACTCTTTTGGCATATTCTAGGGAACAGTTGGAATTTAAAGGGGGGCGAACCACATTATACAAAATTCTTAAGTCAATGGGTTATAAACACAGGGAAGTAAATGGTCGCAAAATTCTATGTGAACAAAAACATGTGATTGCAGCCAAAATTACTTTTTTGAGAACAGATTTACAGTTTCTAAATTCTTGTGAAAATTTGACTTTCGGGTATTTGGATGAAACATGGATCGATCAAAATGGTTCGCCCATTCGTCGCTGGGTGCAGGATACTGATCTAAAAAGCAATCCCACCAAAATTAAAAGTGAAGGATCAAGGTTTACTATTCTCCACGCGGGTTGTTCAACGGGGTTCTTGAACAATTTTTTAAATTCAAAAAATAACGATAGAGACTATCATAAAACGATGGACGGGACAATTTTTCAAAATTGGGTGGTTAATCAGCTCATTCCTGCTTTGGCAAAGTTGAACCAAAAATGTATGGTGGTTTTAGACAATGTATCATTCGATTCAGTTGGATAAACCACCCACTTTTTCTAGTAAAAAATACGAAATGCAAGAATGGTTCTTTAAACATAGTGTTGAATTTGACAAAAAATTTTCGAACAAACAGTTGTGGGATTTAATTAAACCCTTCAGAAACAATTGAAAAAAAGATATTTGGTAAACGAGACATTAAGAAAAAGTGGCCATGAAGTTCTTAGATTACCTCCGTACCATCATCAGTATAATCCAATTGAAATGGCGTGGGGATTTTGTAAGAACTATTACAACAAGCATATAAATTCTCAACCTTCATTAAAAAATAGGGTGGAGAATTTATGGCTTGAGACGCTTTCTAAATGTACTCCAAGCATGTGGCAAAATTTTTGTAAACAATGTAAAAAACTTATTTTGGCAGATTGGTAAAAATATGGGAAATCTTTCGTACAAATCTATACCTCCTTTCATTATTTCGCTAGGTAAATCTGATTCAGAATCTGAATTTGAAAATGACGGTGATGATACAGATTTTCATAGCGAAATAATGGAAATGGGGTGAATTATAGCTTGTCGGGGGGTGATATTTTTACGCATCTTTCGTTCTAAATTTACCAAGGTAGTATGTGAAAAACTACCTGACGTACAATCGCACGCAAATGTTTTGAGCCTATGGGCGGATCGTTTTTGCCTGCCCTCACCGAAGAAGGCGGTCCAAATCCTTCAAGGGCAGAATTTGTAGGTAGGCTCAAACTACAACGAAATTCACATTTTACCCTATAAAATTTTATTGACAATAACGGGACGGACAGTAGTTATATCATTTGTTTAATATACATTTGGTAAGAAATATTTATGGCTCACACCAGTTCTCTCGAATTTGTCGGAGAAGATTTAGCAGGTAGTTGTTCCCATAAAATAATGGTCACTTTCGTTCGTGAGTAACGATGGTCCGGACATGAATTATTTTGCTTTCTAACATCTTTCGACCAATTGTTCCGTATAAAAAATTGCATCACTTTTTCAAATAAAATACTCTTAAAAAGAAAACGATATTGTCGTTGAGTGACATGTAACTGGCATAATAATAAAAACGTGCCATTTTTGTTAACTGATATTTTTTTCATAAATGTTGCAAAATTATTAATTTTGTCTAATCATCCCCACCAATAATGTGATGCCGTCACTTCAAATTTATGCATAATAAATGGGTTTTAAATTGTATACAGTAACATAGTCCTACACATGTAGTTTATGACTCCGTGTTGAGTTTTTATCCGAAACGTCCAGATTTTTGGAAAAAAAATCAAAATTATAAAACAATATTTTGCAATTTAATTTTGAATTTGCAAAATCGAATACTTTGAAATCTTGCAGATGTTTTAAAATCATGATAAACATGATACATTTTTAATTAAAATATATTTGCTTATCCCCTCTAAAAAATGTATGACGTCACCTCAAAATTTTGCAGAATATATCCTATGATGAGTTTTATACTTGTGATTTATCACTGCATTAATATTTTTTATATTTGGTTATACAGGGTGTCTCAAAAAAGTTAATGACTGACTCAATTTATTTTATTGAAGAAATCAAGAATAGCAAAACTGAATACTTTGAAATATTGTAGATGTTTTGAAGTTTTTGTAGCATGGTAACTTTTTCCAAAATTTGATTAATCAAATATGCGCAAAATCAAAAATCGGAAAAACTGAAATTCACTAATGCAAAAAACAGAAAATCGAAAAATACAAATCGTAAAAATCGAAAATCAAAAAATGGCTAATCAAAAAATCGAAAATTCAATGAATCAAATACCTAGGTCGATCGAAAAGTGGAAATTCACAAACCTCAAAAATTTGTAATATTGAAAATTAAAAAAATCAAAAAGAAAAATAAAAAAAATCGGAAATTAAAATAATCAAAATATATAAAGCAAAATAAATTGCAAAGCCTAAAAACTGAAAGGAACAGAAAAATCGAAAAAGCAAAAAATTGGAAAAACAAAAATTCGAAAAATCTAAAATCGAAAAAGTGAAAAATCCAAAATCTGAATAAAGAAACTTGGAAATTCTGAAAATTGGAAAATCGAAAACCAAAAAATCGGAAAGTAACAAAATTGAAGTCTAACAGTTGAGAATGGAAAAATTTAAAAACCGAAAATTCTAAAAATCGACAATGGACAAATTGAAAATCGCAAAATTTAAATTGAAAAATTGAACATAGAAAAATCGATGAATTGAAAAATCGAAAATTCGACTACTCAAATTTTCTAAAAATCGAAAAATCATAAAACTGAAAAATCCAAAATTCTAATCATTGAAAGTCTGAAAACTGAAAATCGAAAATTCTGAAAAGCGGGAAATAGAATAACGAAAAATTTAAAAGAAAGAAAACTGAAGTCTAAAAACCGAAGAATGGAAAAATTAAAAATCAAAAATTCGAAAAATCAAAACCGAAAAATTCAAAGATTTAAAAAGAAAATCGAAAAATCAAAAATCTGAAAATTGAAACTCGAAAATATGGAAAATCGAAAAGTAAAAAAATTGAAGTCTAAAAGCTGAAAAATGGAAAACTGAACAATCGAAAATTCGAAAACCAAATATCGAAAAATCGAAAAGCCGAAAAATCCAAAATTTGATAAATCAGATATGCGAAAAACATAAAATCTGAAAATACAAAACTGGAAAATCAAAAATCTAAAAATGGAAAAACCGAAAATCGAAAATTCAATGAATCTAATACGTAGGTCGATCGAAAAACTGGAAATTCACAAATCTGAAAAATCGAAAATTTGCAAGATTGAAAAACCGAGAATTGAAAAATCAAAAAACCGAAAAATGGAAAAATCAAAGATCGAAAAATAGGAAAACCGAAAATTCGAAAATTCATAATATTGAAAACTCGACAATTCAAAAATCAACTGGAAAAAAATAATCGAAAAATCGAAAAGTAAACAAATTGCAAGCCTAAAAACTGACGAACAGAAAAATCGAAAAATCGTAAAATCAAAACGTGGAAAATCGAAAACTGGAAATTGAAAAATCGAAGATTGGAAAATCGAAAAATCGAAAATCGGAATATCGAAAAGTAAAAAAATTGAAGTCTAAAAGCTGAAAAATGGAAAACTGAACAATCGAAAATTCGAAAACCAAATATCGAAAAATCGAAAAACCGAAAAATCCAAAATTTGATAAATCAGATATGCGAAAAACAGAAAATCTGAAAATACAAATCTGGAAAATCAAAAATCTAAAAATGGAAAAACCGAAAATCGAAAATTCAATGAATCTAATACGTAGGTCGATCGAAAAACTGGAAATTCACAAATCTGAAAAATCGAAAATTTGCAAGATTGAAAAACCGAGAATTGAAAAATCAAAAAACCGAAAAATGGAAAAATCAAAGATCGAAAAATAGGAAAACCGAAAATTCGAAAATTCATAATATTGAAAACTCGACAGTTCAAAAATAAAAAAACTGGAAAAAAATAATAGAAAAATCGAAAAGTAAACAAATTGCAAAGCCTAAAAACTGACGAACAGAAAAATCGAAAAATCGTAAAATCAAAACGTGGAAAATCGAAAACTGGAAATTGAAAAATCGAAGATTGGAAAATCGAAAAATCGAAAATCGGAATATCGAGAATCGACAAATTAAAAAACCGAAAAATCGAAAAATTAAAAAATCGGAAAACGAAAAATTAAAAAAAAACGAAAATTCAAAAATCGAATAATCCGAAACTAAAATAAAAGAAAAGTGGAAAAGTAAAAATTGCAAAGTCTCAAAACTGACGAACAGAACAATCGAAAAATAAAAAAAAATCGAAAAATATCTAAACATGGAAAATCGAAAAATCGAAAATCGGAAAATGGAAAAACCGAAAAATCAAAAATCGAAAACTCGAAAATTCGATGAAACAATACTCGAAAAAGCGAAAAGTAAAAAAATTGCAAGGCCTAAAAATTGAAAAATCAAAAAATCGAAAAAATGAAAATCGAAAAAACGACGATCGAAAAAAAATCAAAAAATCGAAAAGTGGAAAATCGGAAAGTAACAAAATTGAAATCTAAAAGCTGCAAATTGCACAACCATAAAAACTGAAACAAACAGAAAAATCGAAAAACCACAAAAGCGGAAAAACGAAAATCGAAAAATCGCAAATCGAAAAATCGTAAAATCAGAAAATGGAAAATCGAATTTAATCGAAAGTTGAAAAATTGAAGGTCGAAAAATAAAACAACCGAAAAATCGAAAAATGTTATGATTAATGGAAAATCGAAAAATCGAGAATAGAATAATTAAAAAACCGGAAAATTGAAAAATCGGAAATCGAAGAATTAAAAACGTAAAATCGAGAATTCAAAATTCAAAAAAATCGGAAAGTAATCGAAAAATGCAAAAAAATTGCAAAGTCTAAAAACTGACGAACAGAAAAATAAAAAAATCTAAAAATGGAAAGACGAAAAATCGAAAATTGAAAGAATGGCAAATTAAAAAATCGAAACATCGAAAAATCAAAAAAACGAAAAATTAAAAAACCGAAAAACGAAAAAACTGAAAACTCGAAAAATCAAAATACCGCAAATTTGAAAAATCAGAAAATTAGAAAGTAATAAAATCGAAAATTTGATAGAAAAATGGAAACTGAAAAATCTAATTCGATGAAGCTGTTGGTCGAAAAAACGAAAAATCGAAAATCGAAGTGACCTTTTTTTGAGACAGGCTGTATAAGTAAATCTAAAAAATATTACTGCAATGATAAATCACAGGTATAGACTCATCATATCAAATTTTACGATGACGTCATGCATTTTTTGGCGAAGATAAGCAAATACATTTTGATCGTGGCTTTGAAAGTATTCTTCGACTTTCGTTCCATTTCAAAATTTACTCTTTGTATATTTCAGTGGTCACAACGAGTTCACTAACTATGCTGAATATGCAAAGATTAAATTTGTCACCGAAAAGATGTCGGAAGTAATAAATTATCCTGTCGGTCGAAGAACGTATGGTCCGGTGTTACACCTCGACCCAAGAGAGACCGCAGTAAAGGATAACAAATGGAACGGATAAAATAAAGCGTCAAATATGATTGATAAACTTTAAACCAAAATTAAGATGTTTATAAACTGAACATTTTTTTTGCTTTTTGAAATGTAGTACACTTAAAAAAATGTCCGTGACTTACTTTAATGTGAATTTTATAACTATGGTCGGCACAATTAGACCTAATATTAGTGTGATTTTGAGCATATTCTCGATGTTATTAGAGCAGGACAGGTTTTTTTTTTTTCTAACTAATTGACAAGATTTCAAAGTATTCAGTTTTGCAATTCTTGATTTCTTCAATAAAATAAATTGACTCAGTATCTACAAAACCCTGTATCTATAAACAAATCCATAAAATATTAATGGAATGGTAAATCACAAGTATAGACTCATCATATTCTGGACATTTTAGATAGGGTTAAAATTAAAACTAATTCAGAGTAAGAATTTGGTCAACACGTAAATTTCGTTGTAGTTTGAGCCTACCTACAAATTCTGCCCTTGGACGATTTGGACCGCCTCCTTCGGTGACGACCGGTAAAAATGATCCGCCCATAGGCTCAAAACATTTGCGTGCGGTACAACAAAATAAGTATAATTTTAGTTAGATCATCTGTTACTGTGCATCAAATTTTAAGCATTTTCATTTTTTTTGTAACTCTTCATGGACCTGGAGAAAGGGTATAGTAACGTTCTTATTAATAAGCGTTTGGAAGTACTTAGTAAAAGCAAATAAAGAGCATTTACGTAAACATTAGTAATAGCTATAGGGGCAAGTGGTACGAAATGGGACGTAAAAAAACTTTTCTTCATAATTTTGGCAAATTTAGATTTTTTCAAATCATATATTGTTTTACTGTTAGGTAAACGGTGTCGGGTAATGTAATCAACCCCCAAAACTTAAAAAACAAATTTTTTAACGTAAAAAAAAAGTTATACCACTATGTACCATTTGTCCCATAATAAACCACCGGGTGGTATACAGTGGGAAACGACAGTGTATATACTGGGACTATTCAAACGCAACTCATTATGAACAAATCTACTCACACAAAAAGTTTATAAGAATAATATGTATTTTTAGTAATGTACAAGGAACATATAAGTTACAAAAGGTTGTATTGACTAAGATCTAAATTGAACGAAAGTTGTCGGATCGAACTCTGCGTCGCACCGGACACAAATGGTTTGGGCAATTTTAGAATTATGTTTTCCTTGTCAACGAAGTCTTCGTCATCTTTGTCAGGAAAAACAAATTTAGAACCAAGTAATTTTTTTTTAAATCTTACTTCAAACTCCTCATTTCGTATTGCCTTTACTTGTCCAACGTAGTGCCGAACAGTCTTTTTTGTAGCATATTTAACCAAAATGTAATCTTCTACCAAAACTTCATCTAAATTGTTATTGAAATCTTCTTCTTCTGTAAAACTCTCCATGTCTGTAGAATCATTCGCAAACTCCTATTCATTCACGTCTTCAGAATCTGAACTTTCCTCAAATACCTTCTTCTTTACCTTATTAGGTTGCAACTTCTTCGTTTGTTTTAATAATCTTATTCGATGTTCCTCTTCAATTTTCTTTTTAACTGGTGTATCAGTTAAAATAATTGTTGACTGCGCTTTCTTTCTGCCTTTTCTTGTATTCTTTCTAGTAACTTTCCCAACTTGTCGTTGGGCAGATGATGCTAGTATTTTAGGGGGTCTGTGTACAGTTGTAATACCTGTTTCATCACAATTGAAGATTTGTGTTGGTTGAAAATTAAATTTGCCCAACACTTCCCGTAAATTGGTAAAAAATTGCCCAATATTATGTTTATTGAAACTAGTCGCTCTACTCAAACTAGTCGCCTCTGGAGTACGAAGTGCAAGATCGGGATTTCGTTTTCGAAAACAGTGAGCCCATTCCACTCCAGCCATTTTATTTTTTTCCCATGATTGTGGCACATTTTTTCCATTTGCTATGGCAAATCTATAGGCCAATTCCCGAGTTGATTTGAGTGTCAAACCCTCAAACCATAGCACATTTGCGCAGCTTCAATCAAATATTGTCTTAGAAGAGTTTCTTCCTCCGTAGTAAAAACGCATTTCAAACCATGTTCTCGGGAAAAATTAAATCTCTCCTTGTCTTCATCTTCCAAACTTTTATATTTCGTAATTTTCCTATGAAGAGCAGATTTACTAACTTCATACTGGTCTGCTGCTTGTCGTATAGTCATATTTCTTGAAATACCTCATGGACGGCATTACGTATTTTCTCTCTGCTTTCTCGTAGACGCAATTGACTTTCGAGAAACCTTTTTGCCATACTTCTCCTTGGATATTTGGGCATATTGGACTCCTACCAACATTTTTTTTTTCAGAGTTATATATGATACAACGCTTAAGTTAAGTATAATTGTCCCACTATATACCAGACTGTCCCAGTAAATACCGTCATGCATAAATGAAAATCAGGTACGATTTTATTAAAGTGATAGGGCTCTTATGAATTGCAACACATGCACTAGCTTAGATTCATGTTTTTGAAGTTATGGCGAAAAATTGCAAGAATTTCATGTATATTGAACAAAAATACGCCCATCAACATGTTTCTCGTAACCACACACAGAACAGTTCTTACCGAAATCAGTTGGTGTATTACAAAAATACTTTTAAATGGCAACCACTGCGTTATCACCCACGTTTACTAGGATGTTGTAGAACTGAATCTTAAAATTCTAGTTGCACTGCTTCGATTAAATTTTGTGTTATACAAGAAATCTCACTATGTACCGCGTCCCACTATGTACCACTTGCCCCTATAGATAAATCATTCAATTTAAGGCCGGAAAAGTGTTTCAGAAGAGCTAAACCCATCAAACCACTAGAGCAAGGTTGTTGTCTTTTATCAACCCTTATAGTAATCTTAGAAAAGTGAAAAAAGAAGTTGGAAGATATGGAAACAGGCTGTTCACAAAGGTCGAAATTTCCATTTCTAAGAAGAGTGGGTGAGCAGAACGAACTGATGATTGAGAATTAAAGATGAGACGCTAAATGTGGCATGCGACAATAGTCGTATTTAGAACCCCCATTCACATAAAAACAATGTTTAAGTGAAATTTTAGTGTTTGTTCCTTAATAACTGTTTTAAATAGCGTGAAGTTTTATACTTTCTAAGAAATGGATACCGTTAACTTGGTTATTGCTACTGAAAACTGAAAGTATCGCCAATAATGTTTATATTTCTGGCATATTTTTTAACCTTTAATTTAATAAAACATAACCTAACGAAAAAAGTTCAGGGAATATTTATATAGCAGATCGTGAACGGATAATACATCCGAATTCAAGTTGTCATTCGGGGTATTACGGGGTATTGTTAGTTGCATCGTCGTAAAAAGAAACACCATATAAATATACATTTATTTAAATCATATAACATGGTACATAATAATTGAGTCTATATAATAAAAAATTAAATTTCTCCTTTTTCTTTAACAGACAAAGGAAGTGAAATATCCAAAATATTGAGTTTCCTTTTAGCTTTCTTATATCTGTAGGCCTAAAATGAAAACAACTTTTACAAAACCAGCAACCTATATACAAACGTTGAGTATGAAAATCACATCAGAGGAAAACTATTTGAGTTTTTGGATGGTGAAAGTTTTTGTGAGGTAGATGATTGTATTCTCTGAAAGAAAATTGTGGTGTTAGTATGGAGGGTGAAACTACATGTCAGGGATATTTATTTTTACTGGTTAAAATTAGTACTCACTGGTGTCACTGTGATGTTCGATTGGAGCAAGTCCGTTTCTGACGTGATCTTCTTCTTATTTTTGTTTGGGCTACCTGTAGCTGAAACAGCAAATATAGAACTTACAAAAAAATTCACCAGGAATGTACAAATGTAACTTTTAAACAAACCCATTTTGCACCATTTTGTTATCTTAAACAGACTTGTAGATCGTGATTTTAACAACAATGGGAAGTAAGTTAATCTTATTTAATATCTGTTTTTTTGGACACTAGTGTACTGTTGTTGTGAAAAAAATTCAGTTCGGTATTAATTTTTTAAATCTGATATTTTTTCAGTCGCAGAAATTTGCCATTTTACGCTTATGCAATCACCACTCCAGGCTTTAATTCTCATAGTTTTCTACCTTTTATTCGTCCTCAAACTGGGACCAATCTGGATGAAGAACAGGCAGCAGTTTGAGATGAAAAAAGTCCTCAAATATTTTTCAACGCGTACCTCTTCGTTAAAAAGGGTGATGCTAATTTATTTTACCAAAATTACAGTTAGTGCCCCTTTTATTCAAATTAAATCGTTTTTGTGGACCCACTGAAGAGTCAGAACTTACAATGTATTACACATTGATGGTACTTTGTTACAAGTACATCTTGCTCAAAGTATATGATATGATAGAGACGGTAAATCCATCAACTCTTGGTGATATAAGTACCTAGGTACGTATTTTTCCAGGGTTTTTTCGTCCTCCGAAAGAGCCACAGACAGATAACCTTTTTACATGTTTTTCATGTTGTAATATTTGGTAGGTACATCCTGGATAGGCGCCAAATATTTTTTAGGAACTAGGAAGTACCCTTGCTACAAATTGTATGTACACCGTTACATCCTCGCCCAAAATATATACATCTATGGTATTTTAGGCTCAGCACCGTACGATGGTTTTTACGATTGCCGTAGATACAACAGAATCTGAATACCCATATCCAAGATACCTGCATTTTTGTGCCCTAATTAATTTCTCGCTCATGATTTATCTCTTCACCAGATTTTATCTGGAAGCCTATTGCGGTAAAAACAAAAAAGTTGACAAAATTAATGGTCCTGGAAAGTTGCTGACACCTACACGGATTCATTCAGAATAAGATAAAATTGTACACGCTAGTAAAAGATTATAGTCATTTTAAAATATTGGGTTTTATTTTTATTTTACAACCGTTATTTTTATGCATTGTATACATAGTGTATACAAATATATTGTAACAGAGTAAATATTGAATTGTCTATAATCGTCTACGTAGGTTTGAAACCACTTTAAACAATTAAGTCATATCATCACCATTATTATTATCGTTAACCATAGAGAGGCCTAGATGTTACTAGAATTTTTTTTTCTGTTCATGGTCATGTACGGACAAGTGCATTTTATGTAATCTAATCTACCTGAGCGGCATAGAGAAAATTTGATAAAACTGAAATTAAAAGTGTATTTGGAAGGTAGATAGTCAATGCTCGCAGCTACTAATTTTAATGGCGAAATTTGATGTTTATTGGGCTAACATTAATATTTTCGACAAATGTAGTGTCTTTCTTTTCTTTTCCCTCTCGTTTTTCTTCTTCCAATCCTCATTTTCCTTTCCAGTATCATATCTACCAAATTTGTGGTTCGTAGTTTTTGCCTAGCATTCCTGCTGTGGTTTTCCTTTTCTCCCTTTATCTCAATCTTTTTATTTTGAACGGTAAAATTTATCTCTTGGATTTGTTTTTTTCGACTACAATCATCGCTTCTGATTTCCAGACTACAAAAGTCAGATTCTTTTGTCCATTTACAGCTTGAATTCTTCAGCTGTTTCTTTTATATTTGTATGATCCAGAAGTGGTCCCAATAAAAGACTCTGAAGTACTGAGCTCGGGAAGATTTTTGCTTTAACTTTTTCGTCACAAGTTTTCAAATTTCGTTTGGTCTTTCTTCAGGGTTTGCTAATCAGATTTCAGTCATTAAACCGTCCATCAAGCTCTTGAAACGCACGCAAGTACGCAAATCACATAAATGTACTCCAAATTTCTTTACATTAAGTACCCGAACGTTTCGTCGTTTTATTAGGAGTGACGACAGTATTTTTCGACCATAGATGACTTTGGTATTAGTTCAACAACGACGTGAAATGAAAATGATATAAATTGTGACGTTGGAAAAGGACGAGGTCAAGTCAGGTAAGGTTAAGCAGGTCAGGACAGAACAACTTAGATCAGAAATAGTAGAATCCAAAGAATCCAACGAATACAAAGAATCGAAAGAATACAAATAATACAAGAAATACAAAGAATCAAAACAATCCAAAGAATCCAAAAAACCCAAAAAACCCGAGGAATCCAAAGAATTCTAAGAATCCAAAGAAACCAAAGAACCCCAAGAACCCGAAGAATCCAGAGAATCCAAAGAATACAAAGAACCCGAAGATTCCCAAGAATCCGAAGAATCCGAAGAATCCTAAGAATCCCAAGACTCCAAATACTCTATAGAATGCAAAGAATACAAAGAACCCAAAGAACCCGAAAAACCTGGAGAATCCGAAGAATACGAAGAATCCAAAGAATCCAGAGAATCTAAAGAATCCACAGAATCCAAAGAACCCAAAGAATCCAAAGAACCCAAAGAATTCAAAGAATCTGAGAAATCCAAGAAATTCAAGAAATCCAAAAATCCAAACATCCAGAGAACCCAGAGAATCCAAAGAAACCAAAAAACCCGAAGAACCCCAAGAACCCGAAGAATCCGAAGAATCCAAAGAACCCAAAAAATCCAGAAAATCCAAATAATCGAAAGAATCCATAGAATCCAAGGAATCCGGATTATACAGATAATCCAGAGAATCCACAGAATCCAAAGGACCTAAAGAGCCCAAAGAACCCACAGAATCCAAGAAATTCAAAAAATCAAAAATCTCTGTATATCCAAGGAACTAAAGAACCCGTAGAATCCGAAGAATTCCAAGAATCCAAAGAAACCAAAGGATCCATAGAATCCAAACAATCCACAGACTCCAAAGAATTCAAAGAATCCAGAAAATCCGAAGAATCCAAATAATCCAAAAAGAACCCAAATATCCAGGATCCAAATAATTCATAGAATCGAGAGAATCCAGAGAACCCAGAGAATCTAAAGAATCCGAGGAAAACGAAAAATCCGAAGAACCCGAAGAACTCTTAAGAATCCAAAAAATTCAGAGAATCTAGGGAATCCAGAAAATCGGAAGAATTCGAAGAATCCGAACAATCCTAAGAATCCGAAGAATCCAAAGAATCCGGAGTATCCAGAGAATCCAAACAATCCACAGAATCCAAAGAATTCAAACAACCTAAAGAGGCCAAAGAACCCACAGAATCCAAGAAATCAAAAAAATCAGAAAAATCCAGATAATCCAGAAAATCCAAAGAACCGAAGAACCCGAAAAATCCCAAGAATCTAAAGAAAACAAAGAATCCGGAGAACTCAAAATCCAAAGAATCCAAGAAATCTAAGAAATTCAAGAAATCCAAAAAATCTAAAAAATTCAGAAAATCCAGAGATCCAAAAAATCCAAAGAAACTAAAAACCCGAAGAACCTGAAGAATCCGAAAAATTCCAAGAATCCAAAGAAACCAAAGAACCCGAAGAGCCCGAAGAATCCCCAGAATCCAAAAAAATCCAGATAATCCAGAAAATCCAAAGAATCCAAAGTATCCAAAAGAACCCAAATATCCATAGAATCCGAAGAATCCAAAGCATCCATAGAATCCAAAGAATCCAGAGAACCCAGAAAATCCAAAGAATCCGAAGAAACTGAAAAATACGAAGAATCCGAAGAATCCCCACAATCCTCAAAATCCAAAAAATCCAGAGAATCCAAAGAATCCAAAAGAACCCAAATATCCATAGAATCCAAAGAATCCAAATAATGCATAGAATCTAGAGAATTCAGAAAATCAGAAAATCCAAAGAATCCGAAGAAACTGAAAAATCCGAAGAACCCGAAGAATCCAAAAAATTCAGAGAATCCAGGGAATCCAGAGAATACAAGGAATCCGAAGAACTCGAAGAATCCGAAAAATTCCAAGAATTCGAAGAATCCGAAGAATCCAAATAATCCAGAGAACACAGAGAATCCAAAGAATCCGAAGAACTGGAAGAAGTCGAAAAATCCCAAGAATCCGAGGAATCCGCAGAATCCGAAGAAACCAAAGAATCCAGAGAATCCAGAGACTCCAGATAACCCAGAGAATCCAAAGAATCCGAAGAATCCGAAAAATCCGAAGAACCCAAAGAATTCGGAGTATGCAGAGAATCAAGAAAATCCAAAGAACCGAAGAACCCGAAAAATCCCAAGAATCCAAAGAAAACAAAGAATCCATACAATCCAAAGAATCCAAAGAACCCGAAGAACCCAAAAAATCCAAAGAATCCAAGAAATCCAAGAAATTCAAGAAATCCAAAAAAATTAAAAAATTCAGAGAATCCAGAAATCCAAAAAATTCAAAGAAACTAAAATCCCGAAGAATCCGAAAAATTCCAAGGATCCAAAGAGACCAAAGAACTCCAAGAGCCCGAAGAATCCGAAGAAACCGAAAAATCCGAAGAACCCGAAGAATTAAAAAAATTCATAGAATCCAGGGAATCCAGAGAATCCAAAGAATCCAAAGAATCCGAAGAACTGGAAGAAGTCGAAAAATCCCAAGAATCCGAGGAATCCGAAGAATCCGAAGAAACCAAAGAATCCAGAGAATCCAGAGACTCCAGATAACCCAGAGAATCCAAAGAATCCGAAGAATCCGAAAAATCCGAAGAACCCAAAGAATTCGGAGTATGCAGAGAATCCAGAAAATCCAAAGAACCGAAGAACCCGAAAAATCCCAAGAATCCAAAGAAAACAAAGAATCCATACAATCCAAAGAATCCAAAGAACCCGAAGAACCCAAAAAATCCAAGAAATCCAAGAAATCCAAGAAATTCAAGAAATCCAAAAAATCTAAAAAATTCAGAGAATCCAGAAATCCAAAAAATCCAAAGAAACTAAAATCCCGAAGGATCCGAAAAATTCCAAGAATCCAAAGAGACCAAAGAACCCGAAGAGCCCGAAGAATCCGAAGAATCCCCAGAATCCCAAAATCCAAAAAATCCAGAGAACCCAAAGAATCCAAAAAGAACCCAAATATCCATAGAATCCAAAGAAACCATAGAATCCAGAGAATCCAGAGAACCCAGAAAATCCAAAGAATCCACAGAATCCGAAGAACCTGAAGAATCCAAAAAATTTAGAGAATCCAGGGAATCCAGAGAATCCAAAGAATATGAAGAACTCGAAGAACCTGAAGAATCCCAAGAATCCGAAGAATCCGAGTAATCTGAAGAACCCAAAGAATCCAGAGAAACCACAGAATCCAAGAAATTCAAGAAATTCAAAAATCCAAAAACCAAAGAATCCAAAGAATCCAAAGAATCTGAAGAACCCGAAAAACTTGAGAGAACCCAAAGAATTCCAAGAATCCAAAGATTCCGAAGAACCCGAATAACCCGAAGAATCTGAAAAATTCAAAGAATCCAGAGAATCCAGAGAATCGACAGAATCCACAAAATCCAAAGAATCGAACAAACCCAAAGAACCCAAAGACCCCAAAGAACCCAAATAATCCAAACAATCCAAGAGATACAAGAAATCCAAGAGACCCCAAAATTCCAAGAAATCCGAAAAATTCGAGAAATCCGAGAAATTCGAGAAATCCAAGAAATTCCAAAAATCCAAGGAAACCAAGAAATCCAAGAAATCCAAGAACCCAAGAACGCAAAAATGCAAGAAACCAAGCAATCCAAGAAATCCCAAAAATCCAAGGAATTCAAGAAATCCAAGAAATCCTAAAAATTCAAGAAATCCTAAAAATCCAAGAAATCAAAAAAATTCAAAATATCAAAAAAATCCAAGAAATTCAAGAAATGCAAGAAATCCCAAAATTCCCAGAAATCCGAGAAATCCCAAAAATCCAAGGAATTCAAAAAATCCAAGAAATCCATGAGATCCAAGAGATCCAAGAAATACGAGAAATCCGAGAAATCCTAGAAATCCAAGAAATCAAAAAAATTCAAAATATCAAAAAAATCAAAAAAATCCAAGAAATTCAAGATTCCGAAGAACCCGAATAACCCAAAAAATCTGAAAAATTCAAAGAATCCAGAGAATCCAGAAAATCCAGAGAATCGAGAGAATCCACAAAATCCACAAAATCCAAAGAATCCAAAGAATCGAACAAACCCAAAGAACCCAAAGACCCCAAAGAACCCAAATAATCCAAACAATCCTTTTCCCAAATCGCAAAGCAGTGACGGATTTTATGAAAAGAAGATTCCAATGATTTCACCGTCAATTTTTTCAGATCTGACTAGTTCAATTTTTTACCGTAATCATGTACGCCTTTGCTCAATGATCGTTCTCTTTTTAATTGCATTAACACTAATTATTTCTGTTTTTAGTCTTTTAATTATACAAGGTGATCCAAAAATAACGGAAAAGCTCGATAGTACATTTTTAAGAAGGCTGTAAAGAACTCGAAAAAATGGTTAAAAAATCCCGGAACCAAATTTTTGAAAAATGTTAAACTTTAAATTTGAACAATTAACATCGTAATCTGATATTACATATTTTAATGTGAATTTAATTAACAGTCTAAAATTCCGATAAAAATCGTCAAAAATTACATCTCTCAACAGTAAAAAGTGACGTTGTAGCAATAATAATAATAGTAGTTCATCAAAACACATCAGAATTACGAAGTTAATTTTTCAACTTTGAAGTTTAATATTCTTAAAAGTATAGTGTCGGAAATTTTTTTAACCATTGTTTTCAACAACTCTATTATATTGTTCACTAACTCTTCGTTTACTTTCTAGATTTAGTTTCATTTTTCTTATTTTAGATGTTTTTCTTTTGTGGCTCAAACATCTACTTTGTAGCTCCTATGTATAGTTCTAGCTTAGCTGACCTGACCTGACCTGACCTGACCTGACCTGACCTGACCTGACCTGACCTGGCCTGACCTTACTATTATTATGTCATGATATAGTAGATTGACAACTAGTTAAGTCTAATCTTTATTAGTGGTAGGCAAAACTGGCTAGATTAAAAGTTACATTCACATTTTTCCAAAAAAAATCAATAAACACTTACCTCCCGGCAAATTCGGCAACGTAAAAACATCATTCCTCGCCTTCTGCTCCTTCTTTTTCGGAACCCCCGTCGAAAAACTCCCCAGCCACCCACTCCCCCCACTCTCCAAATTCCCCCCCATACTATCCGCGTTCTTTTCAAACTTTTTCAAAAACTGCGTCCTGGGGTTACTCAACAGCGGCACTTGGTTCAAATTCGACTTAACCGTGAGACTCTGCAGCAAATTCGGCGACCTCTTCGGCGGATCCCTATTGAAACTAATATTGTTGATGCTAGGGTGCAGCACGTTCGGGGACTTATTAAAGTCCCCGAGACCCGGCTGGAGTGACTGGAACTGCGGCGGCGACGGCGGCAGCAGCGGACTCTCCCCCACCCCCTCCTGCTTGACCGCGGACACCGGCCGCTCGGTCTTCTGCGAAAACTTCGCCAGACTCTCCAGCGACTTCTCCAGCATCTGCATCTCGGCCGTGCTGCCGTTCTTCTTCTCCTTCGACGAGTTCTTCTCCGACGCGTTCTTGCCCAGGTTCTGCCCCGACTTCTGCATCACGCTCAGCCTCTGGCTCGTCTTCGACAGGCTGATCAGGTTCTTGTCGTCGGCGTTCGTGAAGACGTCGTAACCGTACTTCCTCTTGATGCTGCCTTCGGCCAGGCTGAACTTCCACCTCACTTGGTCGCCTTGTTTTCTCGCCTTCGCTTCCTCTTTTTTGTCGGTCGACATGAGGATCTCAGTCTTGTACTTCCTCAGGAGCGGGTTATTGTTGAATTCCGTGTTGACTTTGTCGCGCAAGGCCGGCAAAAACTTTTGCGGGAATCTGTCGTGCACGAAGTAATTATTTCTGAGGAGTTCGTCGGAGGTCGCGCGTTCGTGGGGATCCATTTTCATACAGTAGGAGAGGAATTCGATGGCGTAGAGGGGCCAGTCGGGGAAGTGTTTGTAGAGGTCGGTGTCGCTCGAAGCCGATTTGATCATGCCGCGGAGGTGAGAACTTCTAGACATTAGGTGCTGATGGCGATGGCACGGTTTGCCTGGAAGAAGAAAAGTCGTAAAAGTTGCGTGCGAATTTTGGGTGAAATTGCAATGGGGGTATTTTTGGAACTGGTGGTGGAGACAGTTGGCGCTGGAAATGAGGTGCTAGAAGAATAAGAACGCTCATTAGTCTAAAGAGCGGATTCTAGGGCAAATGCGTTTTCATTTTGTTGTAAATAAATGTGTATCTGAGAAAACCTTTTTATTAGAACCCTACTGTTAAAAATCTACAAAAAATTCTGGAAGACAGATTTCCACGAGCTGAATGCAAAAACACAGCGTGTTTAAAGTCACGGATCAAAACTACAGACGAATATCGAAATTCCGGAGTAATTATAGATTTTCGTTAAGGATATGTTTAGAGCAATTTTGAAAAAACTTGGTAACCAACAAATGTTTATATATTTCAAAATTTTTACATTTCATGTTCGACCAAACGTAGTTCAAAATAACTTCTGGAAGATTTCGACGAGCTTATAGTCACGGACAATATTACAAACGAATATCGAAAATTGGCACAATATCGGGAAACTAAGTAGCCAAAAATTATTAAAAAAATTGCGTTCGCCTACCAATGACACGTCTATCAGGGAAAATAATTCAAAATAAAGGCAATAGGACTACTCGTTTTCGAAATATTTGGAACCAAAACAAGATTTTTAAAATAACTCAAAATTTTGTATTTCCATTTTGGTGATTTCGGAAAAATTTTAAAAATTTTCGGAGAAATGAAGCCGTAAAAACTTCTAAGAGGTCGAAATTAACTAAAGAAAATTTTTCGACGTTGCTTTCGAAAATGTCAAAAATTTCATACGGGGAGGTACTGAGAAATTTAGCTGTATTTTCGAAATTGTCCAAAAATACACACCAAAAAAAATACTGACAAATAGAAGAGACAGAGTCTATCCAAAACTACCAAACCGATTACTTTGAAATATTAGCTATATATCCAAAAAATCCAAGAAATTCAAAAAATTCAAAAAGTCCAAAAAATCTGAAGAATCCAAAGTATCCAAGAACCCGACAACCCAAGCACTCAAAGATCCGAGAATCCAAGAATCCAAGAAATACCAATTATCCAAGAAATCCAAGAAATCCAAAAAATCCAAAAAATTCAAAGTATCAAAAAACTTAAAACGATCCTAGAACCCAAGAAATCCAAGAAATCCAATAAATCCAAAAAATTCAAAAAAGTCAAAAAATTCAAAATATCAAAAAAATCCAAAAAATCCAAGAATCCAAGAAATCCGAGAAATCCCAGAAATCCCAAAAATCCATAAAATTCAAAAAATTAAAAAAATTCAAAGAATCTAAGAACCCAAGAGGCCAAGAACTCAAAAATTCAAGAATCCAAGAAAGAAAATTTTTCGACGCTTCGAAAAATGTCAAAAATTTCATGCAGGGAGGCACTGAGAAATTCAGCTGTATTTTCGAAATTTCAAGACATCCAAGAAATACGAGAAATCCGAGAAACCCAAGAAATCCAAAGAATCCAAAAAATTCAAAATATCAAAAAAATCCAAAGAATCCTAGAAGCCAAGAAATTCAAGAAATCCCAAAAATCCAAGAAATCCAAGAATTCGAAGAAATCTAAGAGATCCAATAAATCGAAGAAATCGAAGAAACCGAAGAAATCCAAGAAATCCAAGAAATCCAAGAAATCCAAGAAATCCAAGAAATCCAAGAAATCCAAGACATCCAAGAAATCCAAGACATCCAAGAAATCCAAGACATCCAAGATATCCAAAAAATCCAAGGAACCCAAGAACCCAAGAAATTCAAGGAATCCAAGAAATCCCAAAAATCCCAAAAATCCAAGAGATCCAAGACATCCAAGAAATCCAAGACATCCAAGATATCCAAAAAATCCAAGGAACCCAAGAACCCAAGAAATTCAAGGAATCCAAGAAATCCCAAAAATCCCAAAAATCCAAGAGATCCAAGAAATCCAAGGGATCCAAGAAATCCAAGTGATCCAAGAAATCCGAGAAATCCGAAAAATCCAAAAAATTCAAAATATCAAAAAAAACCAAAGAATCCAAGGAACCCAAGAACCCAAGAAATACAAGTAATCCAAAAATCCCAGAAATTCAAGAGATCCAAGAAATCCAAGAAATCCCAAATTTCCAAGAGATCTAAGAAACCCAAGGGATCTAAGAGATCCCAGAGATACAAGAAATCCAAGAAATCTCAAAATTCCAAGAAATCCGAGAAATCCAAAAAATCCAAAAAATTCAAAATATCAAAAAAACCCAAAAAATCCAAGGAACCCAAGAACCCAAGAAATTCAAGAAATCCAAGAACTCCCAAAAATCCCAGAACTTCAAGAGATCCAAGAAATCCAAGAAATCCCAAAGTTCCAAGAGATCTAAGAAATCCAAGGGATCCAAGAGATCCCAGAGATACAAGGAATCCAAGAAATCTCAAAATTCCAAGAAATCCGAGAAATCCGAAAAATCCAAAAAATTCAAAATATCTAAAAAACCCAAAAAATCCAAGGAACCTAAGAACCCAAGAAATTCAAGAAATCCAAGAACTCCCAAAAATCCCAGGAATTCAAGAGATCCAAGAAATCCTAGAAATCCCAAAGTCCCAAGAACTCAAAAATGCAAGGCAGCAAGAAATCCAAGAAATCCCAAAAATCCAAGGAATCCAAGAAATCCAAAAAATCTCAAAAATCCAAGAAGTCCAACAAATTCATGAGAAAGAAACTCAAGAAATCTCATAAATACCAGAAATCCAAGAGATCCAAGAGATACAAGAAATCCAAGAAACCTCAAAATTCCAAGAAATCCGAGAAATTCGAGAAATCCGAAAAATTCAAGAAAACCAAGAAATCCAAGAACCCAAGAACCCAAAAATGCAAGAAACCAAGCAATCCAAGAAATCCCAAAAATCCAAGGAATTCAACAAATCCAAGAAATCCCAAAAATCCAAGGAATTCAAAAAGTCCATGAGATCCAAGAGATCCAAGAGATCCAAGAGATCTAAGAAATACGAGAAATCCAAGAAATCGGAGAATTCCAAGAAGTCAAAAAAATTCAAAATATCAAAAAAATCCAAAAAATCCAAGAACCCAAGTAATTCAAGAAATTCAAGAAATCCCAAAATTTACAGAAATCCAAGAAAATCAAAAATTCCAAGAAATTCGAGAAATTCGAGAAATTCTAAAAATCCGAGAAATACCAGAAATCCGAAAAATCCAAGAAATCCAAGAAATCCCAAAAATCCAAAAAAACCGAAAAACTCAAAAAATTCAAAAAATCCAAAGAATTCAAAGAATCCAAGGACCCAAGAACCCAAAAATCCTAGAAATCCAAGAAATCTTAGAAATCCTAAAATTCCAAGAAATTCAAGAAGTCCGAGAAATCTTAGAAATCCGACAAATGTAAGAAATCCAAGCAATCCCAAAAATCACGAAAATTCAAGAGATCCAAGAGATACAAAAAATCTAAGAAATTCCACCATTCCAAGAAATCCGAGAAATCCCAGAAATCTCAAAAATCCATAAAATTCAAAAAATTAAAAAACCCCAAAGAATCCAAGAACACAAGAGCTTAAGAACTCAAAAATTCAGCTGTATTTTCGAAATTGTCCAAAAATACAGAATCTATCCAAAACTACCAAAGCGATTATTTTGAAATATTAGCTATATATCAATAGAGAAATTCAAGAAATCCAAGAAATACGAGAAATCCGAGAAACCCAAAAAATCCAAAAAATCCAAAAAAATTCAAAATATCAAAAAAATCCAAAAAATCCAAGAAGCCAAGAAATTCAAGAAATCCCAAAAATCCAAGAAATCCAAGAATTCGAAGAAATCTAAGAAATCCAATAAATCCAAAAATCGAAGAAATCCAAGAAATTAAAGAAATCCAGGAAATCAAAGAAATCGAAGAAATCCAAGAAATCCAAGAAATCCAAGAAATCCAAGAAATCCAAGAAATCCAAGAAATCCAAGAAATACAAGGAAACCAAGAAATCCAAGAAATCCAAGAAATCCAAGAAATCCAAGACATCCAAGAAATCCAAGAAATCCCAAAGCTCCAAGAAATCCGAGAAATCCAAAAACCCAAGAACTCAAAAATCCAAGACCCAAGAAATTCAAGAAATCCCAAAATTCCCAGAAATCCAAGAAAATCAAAAATTCCAAGAAATTCGAGAAAATCGAGAAATTCAAGAAATCCGAGAAATACCAGAAATCCGAAAAATCCAAGAAATCCAAGAAATCCAAGAAATCCCAAAAATCCAAAAAAATCGAAAAACTCAAAAAATTCAAAAAATCCAAAGAATTCAAAGAATCCAAGGACCCAAGAACCCAAAAATCCTAGAAATCCAAGAAATCTTAGATATCCTAAAATTCCAAGAAATTCGAGAAGTCCGAGAAATCTTAGAAATCCGACAAATGTAAGAAATCCAAGAAATCCCAAAAATCACGGAAATTCAAGAGATCCAAGAGATACAAAAAATTTAAGAAATTCCAACATTCCAAGAAATCCGAGAAATCCCAGAAGTCCCAAAAATCCATAACATTCAAAAAATTAAAAAAATCCAAAGAATCTAAGAACCCAAGAGCTCAAGAACTCAAAAATTCAAGAATCCAAGAAAGAAAATTTTTCGACAACGCTTCGAAAAATGTCAAAAATTTCATATAGGGAGGCACTGAAAAATTCAGCTGTATTTTCGAAATTGTCCAAAAATACAGAATCTATCCCAAACTACTAAAGCGATTATTTTGAAATATTAGCTATATATCAATATAGCTAATATTTATTTTACTATTTTACTATTATAATATAATCAATATATATATATGTGTGGTGATGGTATTGTGTTAGCAGATACAGACCTTGTTGCATCTTATCTGTCAGTACATACACTAGAAAATCGTCGTAAGTATCACAAACTATGTTTTCTTTTTAAATTATTAAATGGTTTAATTGAAGCCCCCATATTGCTAGCGTTGGTAGGTCTTAATGTGTCAATCCGTAAGGTTCGTACGCCTAGGCTGTTTTTTATACCAGTTCATAAAACGAATTATGCATTACATTCGCCTCTAAATAGCGTTTTGATGATTGCTAACGAATGCAACACTTTAGAGTTTTTTGGTATCTCCCTCAACGCCTTCAAGAAAGAATGTCGCAAATTGTTACTATTATGTTAATATGAATTGTTATGTTAATATTTTGTTATGTACTTTATGTAATGCCTTTACATCTTTCGGCGTAATAAAGCACTATTATTATTATTATTATTATCAATAGAGAAATTCAAGAAATCCAAGAAATTCGAGAAATCCGACAAACCCAAAAAATCCAAAAAATCCAAAAAATTCAAAATATCAAAAAAATCCAAAGAATCTAAGAAGCCAAGAAATTCAAGAAATCCCAAAAATCCAAGAAATCCAAGAATTCGAAGAAATCTAAGAAATCCAATAAATCCAAAAATCGAAGAAATCCAAGAAATTAAAGAAATCCAGGAAATCAAAGAAATCCAAGAAATCCAAGAAATCTAAGAAATCCAAGAAATCCAAGAAATCCAAGAAATCCAAGAAATCCAAGAAATCCAAGAAATCCAAGAAATACAAGAAATCCAAGAAATCCAAGAAATCCAAGACATCCAAGAAATCCAAGAAATCCCAAAGCTCCAAGAAATCCGAGAAATCCAAGAACCCAAGAACTCAAAAATCCAAGACCCAAGAAATCCAAGAAATCCCAAAAATCCAAGGAATCCAAAAAATCCAAAAAATCTCAAAAATCCTAGGAAACCAAGAAATCCAAGAAATCCCAAAAATCCAAGCAATCCAAGAAATCCAAAAAATCCAAGAAATATAAGACATCCAAGAAATCCAAGAAATCCAAGGAATCCAAGAAATCCAAAAAATCCAAGAAATCCAAGACATCCAAGAAATCCAAGAAATCCAAGACATCCAAGAAATCTAAGATATCTAAAAAATCCAAAGAATCCAAAGAATCCAAGAAACCCAAGAACCCAAGAAATTCAAGAAATCCCAAAATCCCAGAAATTCAAGAGATCCAAGAAATCCAAGAAATCACAAAGTTCCAAGAAATCAAAGACATCCAAGAAATCTAAAATATCTAAAAAATCCAAAGAATCCAAAGAATCCAAGGAACCCAAGAACCCAAGAAATTCAAGGAATCCAAGAAATCCCAAAAATTCCAGAAATCCAAGAAATCCAAGGGATTCAAGAGATACAAGAGATACAAGAAATCCAAGAAATATCAAAATTTCAAGAAATCCGAGAAATCCGAAAAATCCAAAAAAATCAAAATATCAAAAAAAATCAAAGAATCCAAGGAACCCAAGAACCCAAGAAATTCAAGAAATCCAAGAAATCCCAGAAATTCAAGAGATCCAAGAAATCCAAGAAATTCCAAAGTTCCAAGAAATCCGAGAAATCCAAGAACCCAAGAACCCAAAAATGCAAGACACCAAAAAATTCAAGAAATCCCAAAAATCCAAAGTATCCAAGAAATCCAAAAAATCTCAAACATCCAAGGAAACCAAGAGGTGCAAGAAATCCAAGAAGTCCAAGAAACAAAGAACCCAAAAATGCAAGAAATCCCAAAAATCCAAGGAACCCAAGAAATCCAAGAAATATAACAAATCCAAGAATTCCAACAAATCCATGAGATCCAAGAGATCCAAGAGATTCAAGAAATCTGAGAAATCCGAGAAATCCAAGAAATCCAAAATATTCAAAAAATTTAAAATATCAAAAAAATCCAAAAATTCCAAGAATCCAAGAAATTCAAGGAATGCATGAAATCCAAGAAGTCCAAAAAGTTCAAAAAATTCAAAACATCAAAAAAATCCGAAGAATCCAAGAACCCAAGAAATTCAAGAAATCCCAAAATTCCCAGAAATCCAAGAAAATTCAAAATTCCAAGAAATTCTAGAAATTCGAGAAATCCCAGAAATTCGACAAATCCAAGAACTCCGAGAATTCCAAGAATCCAAAAAATTCAAAAAATTCAAAAAAATTCAAAAAACCAAAGAATCCGAAAAATCCTCCTTTTTAGCTCCAATGTCTCTTGAGAGCGCCACGAACTGTACTGGACTGACCTAACTCGTCTTATTAATCCGGTAAAGTTCTAGCTGACTTAACCTGACCTGATTTGACTTTAATTGACCTATCTAGACTTATGGTTTAGCCTGGCTTGATCTGACCTTACTATTATTATGACACGTTATAGTGGATTGACAACTAGTTTAGTCCAGACTTTATTAATGGTAGGCAAAAATGGCTAGATTAAAAGTTCTAAGATCCAACCCTTCCATCTTGGAAGCCTTACTGGATTGTTCAATGCCACCTGTTCTGACAAGATGTGTGTAATTCTAAATTAAATGAAACATTTTAAGTTATTATGGAATTTGACTCCACAATATCGAAATAGTCAATACTATTTCGACTTCACTTGCTTAAAGCGCTTATTTTGACATTTTTCGGACCTAAATCCCCCGTTTTCAGCGCCTAATTTAGTGCCTATTTTGGCTTTTTTTTAGTGTCTTGTAATCAATCGGACTAAGCACAACTAAACTACTCACTATTACTTACCCAACATTTTCACGATTAGATACAGCTGGTCGATGTCGCTTTCGCCAGGAAACAGCGGATCTCCGGTCATCATCTCGGCGAACAGACACCCTATAGCCCAGATATCCACCGCCGCCCCATAATTAACCTCCCCAACTAAAAGTTCAGGCGCCCGGTACCACCTAGTAGCCACATATTCCGTGCAAGGCTCTCCCGAAATGCAAACTAACCGAGCAAAACCGAAATCACAGAGTTTGACGACGCCGAGGGAAGACACAAGGACATTTTCCGGCTTCACATCCCGATGGATGATCTAAAACACCACAAATCAGCCCCTTCACCAAAACCACCCTCCCGCCCTTACGTTATTACTATGACAATAGTTGATCGCCCTCGTAACCTGGAAAATCCTCTCCCTGCACCTTTCGTCACCTAGTCCTCCCGGCATCTTCTCCAGCTCGTCCAAGACGGTCCCTTCCAAGTATTCGAAGACAAGAAAAAATCTTTTCCTGTGCCGGAAAACCTCGATCATGGTGACTAGGTTTTCGTGCTTCAGTCTCTGGAAAAAAACGTGTAGTTGCGGGTGGGGCGAGTGCGCATGTCGTACTTTCAACATTCGAATTTCCCGCAGTGCCATTTTTCGTATGGTTGCATCTTCTTCCGTTTCCAAAAATTTCTTGATGGCCACTACTTGATCGGTCTCTTTGTGTCTGCATTTCATCACCAAGCCATACGAACCTTCCCCCACTACAGATATTTGTTCGTATTTGTCCATGGTGTGGGCAATTCTTCAACTCATCTAAAAATAAAGAAACGTGTTAACCGTTTGTTACAAGTGAGTTTTTCTATTACAAAATTTTGTGTTGTATTATTGTTATTCTTGAATTTAGGGTACTCGTAATTTAAGACAAATAGCGATAACACTTATCAACGTGTAGACGTGAGAGTGAAACAGAAACTAAACTACGAATTGCAATAATCGGATTACAATGCCGACGGTCCAGACTTTTTTATTGCTCTAACTTCCGTTTATTAAATAAAACGCTACATTTTATTTTGATTTTCGCCCTAGCTGCGGCCTTGTCTAGGAGTTATGAAATATCGAGAAAATATGAAAGTACTCTTTAATTATTACATTCACGACAGCTTCAACCACCCTACATTACGAAAATTACATAATCAAGGAATAATAAAAGCAGAAAAAGCGATTTAGTCGTCCCTCTTTCGTTCCGGCGACATAATGATCAATCAGCGACATCATTTTCGAACTTTTTATAACCTGTTAGAAGTTTTAACAACGATAACGCAACATCAGCCCCTCTATTGTACCCCGAGCTCATATTTCTCAGTCGACTTTGGAAAATTATGACAACTTAATATTGATTATCATCGTTTAAGATAAAACTTCAACTCGGAAAGTAGTTCAAAGAAAACTACTTTACTTCTAATGCAACTACCTACTATTAAAATTTTTTAGGTCGATAAATCCGGGTAGAACGCGCACGAAAACCGATAAATCTCCGCAACTACAGAATTTTTCCGTCTGTGTCCTACTGATCAATTAATTTATCTTTCAATTTTCATTTTCGCACGCGATGTGGGTGGTACCCGTGTGCAATCTACATCTGCGGAGCAGACATGTACCGGATTCGACTCCGGAACCGTATTGGATTTATAGCAAAACAAAACAAACCGTAACGACATTTATTCATGTCAGGTAATTTGGTTGGTAATGATTGCGAGATCGATAAAATTTAATACAATGTTGGCCATTTATTCGTCCATTTTTCGTATTTAAACGTGATTCAGTCTAAAGACGAAATATTCATGGGAAAACGCTGACGAAAATAGATGCGCTCGTTAAAAATTGATTTTTCATTTAATCGGTATTTACGAGTTTTTCAGTCACGAATTTCAGACGAAGCAATCTTTGCTATTATGCTGTCTCCGAAATAAAAATTGAAGGGAAGACGGTGGAGACAATGACGCAGACGGATGAACGCTCGATTTGCTATTTTTGAAGCGCGGTGACGAATTGACGAAAGCTGGAGGAGGGTCGATTATGACAAAAGTGACATTGGGAGATAATATTATGGAACGAAAATGGAAAAAAATATAATTCATAAATCACAAGCATAAAAGTATGTTAATTTGGGAAACTTAAATACCATTTACTACGCAAAAGTTCGAGGTGACGTCATCAAATTATTGGTGGGGATGACTAGACAAATTTTGATTAACGTTTCATTATCTACATCCGGCAGACGATAGGCCAACAGAAATGGAGGTCCTATTCTTTCATACATAAAAGTAGCCGTTCACCGTTACAATATTTCCCTAGTTACGCTCGGTAAAGTAAAATATACATAAAAGAAAAATAACAAAAAAGATTACAAAAAAAATTAATTAAACACTCATATACATAGACGAAAATTGTTAGCGCGAAATAGATCTTTGGATTTGAATAATTTTACAAAATTATAGGATAAAAATCTCTCAAACTCACACAATAGTAGTATATAGCGTAGAGTATATTCAAATTTTCCCGCCAAAAATTGGGCGAGAACCTCCACTACATATCTACTTACACAACAATAAAAGGAAAAAGCGCACGCACGTCGCTATGACGTCACGCACAGATAGCGCCACACCGTATATTGCTTTCAGAAGAGAAACTGAGAGAACAGAATAGAAGAAAATGAACACGTTAAAAGAGGGAGACAGAAAGAATAGGCTAAAGGGTAAGAAAAAAGTCGAAAGAAATGAAGAAAGAGCAAAGGCCAAAGTGAAAGACAAAAGGTCGGAACTAGAAAGAAACGGAATATAAGAGGGAATGGGGGAATAAAAGGAATGAGGAGAGTGAAAATTGTAGAAGATATAAACAATAAGGAAGTTAGAAAGAGACAGGGCACGAAAAATTAAAAAGAACAATCTAAAGGCGGGCGAGAGAGAGGTAAAGACAACAGGTTTGGAGCAAAGTGATTGAACTGGCTATAGAAGAGGAGAGAAAAGAAACGAAAGGGAAGAGAAAAACGGATGAGAAAAAGAGAATGCGAAAAGGAGAATGAGGAAGTGGAATCGAAGAGACAGAAAAAGAATGGAAAAGTGGGGACTAGTGAACTAGACGAGATCTAGAGAGAAACGGAATAGAAGAAGAACTGAGAGGGAGAGAGATAGAGAATAGCAAGGGGCAGAATGAGGCTGGAAGAAAAAAAGAGTGACAAATTACGAGAGAAAAAAGGACGAGAGAACGAGCTACAGGCAGGGATAGGGAGAGAAGACAAAATGGAGAGACAGGATATGAAAGGAAAGAGAAAAAGGTGAAAGAAAAAAGGAAATGTGATGATAGACGAAGAGGGAGAGAAATTTAGAAGATGGAAAAGGAAGGGGGAGAGGGAATAAACTAGAAGATGGAGAGTACAAAAACAAGGTACAAGGAGAACAGAGAACAGGATAGAGGGAAAGGGAAAGAAGAAGCTAAAGACGGGAGAGACACACTGAGAGAAAGCAACGTTGGAGAGAAAAGACGAAAGAAAGGGAGGAAAAAAAAGGTCAACATGAGAGACAAAAGGCATGAACTAGAACAAACAGAATATAAGAGACAAAGGGAACGAAAGTAATGAGAAGAATAAAAATGTAAGAAATATGAGACAATAAGGAAGATAGAAGAAAGGAAGAAGGAGAGAGCAAGCTAGAAGTGGGAGAACGAAAGAAAAAACGAATTTGAAGAGACAGAGGCAGAACAGGCTAGAAGAAACGACAGGGGACAGAAAAGGTGAAAAGGAAAAAGAGAATTTGAAAAGTAGAAAGAGGAAGATAGACGGAGAGGGAGTGGGATCGGGAAGTGAAAAATTAAAAAGAAATAGGGAAATATAATGTGAAGGAGAGGGTAAGAAAAGAAGAGAAAGTCATAAAACAAATTACACGTAAGAGAAAGAAAGAATAAGACAAGAGACGAGAGAAAACAAAGTGCAAAAGGGAGTGAAAAGGACAGGCTAGAGGGGAGAGGAGAGAGAGGGAATGCAAAACGGAATAGAAGAAGGAATGAGTGAAAAAACGGATGAGAAGAGTAAAAATTGTAGAAAAAGAAAAGAGAACAATCTACAGGCGGGCGACAAAGAAAGAAAGACAATAGGTTTAGGGTAAAGTTATTGAACTGGTATAGGAAAGGAGAAAAAAGACAAATTGGAGAGAGAAAGTACGAAAGGGAAGATAATAGCGCAAGGGAAAAAGGAAATGCAAAAAAGAGAGCGAGGGAGTAGTATCGAAGAGATAGAAAAAGAATGGAAAAGTGGGGAGAACAAGGTTAGGAGAGAGAAAGGGGAGAGAACATGATAGGGGGAAGGGAGAAGATGGAGAGAGAGAAGAGAAAACAGCTAGAGAGAAAGAGATAACTGGGAAAAGTGAGAGAGAAAGAACAAGCTAGTGAAAGACAAAAAACGAGACCTAGACAGGCAGAGAGAGAGAAGGCAAAATGGAGAGACAGGAAAGAAAAAAAGGTGAAAGAAAAAAGAAAATGTGAGGATAGACAAAGAGGGAGAGAAATCAAGAAGATGAAAAAGGAAGAGAGACAGAGAGAAGAGGAGAGAAAATAGGTAAAAAGAGGGAGGGAGAGAGAACAAAATAGAAGAGGGGGAGCACGAACGCAGGCTACAGGGAGACGGGAGATCAGGGTAGAGGAAAGGGAAAGAAGAATCTAGAAGTGGGGACAGAGAGACACAGAGAGAAAGCAATGTGGGAGGGAAAAGACGAAAGAAAGGGAGGAAAAATGAACGAAAGAAGAAAGGTCAACATGAGAGACAAAAGGCATGAACTAGAAACAAAAGGAAAATAAGAGGGACGGAGGGAACGAAAGTAATGAGGAGAATGAACATGTAAGAAATATGAGACATAAGGAAGATAGTAGAAGAATGGAAGAAGGAGAGAGCAAGCTAGAAGTGGGAAAAAAGGAAGAAAAAACGGACTTGAGGGGGCAGAGACAGAACGAGCTAGAAGAAATGAGAGGGGGCAGAAAAGATGAAAAGGAAACAGAGAATGTGAAAAGTAGAAAGAGGTAGATAGACGGAAAGGGAGTGGGATCGGGAAGTTGAAAATAAAAAATTAGAAGGGAAATATAATGTGAAGGGCAGGGTAAAAAAAGAAAAGAAAAAGTCAGAAAACAAGTTACACGACAGAAGGAGAGAAAACAAGCTGGAAGTGGCAGTGAAAAAAGACAGGCTAGAGGGGAGTGGAGAGAGAGGGAATGCAAAATGGAATAGAAGGAGGAATGAAGAAATAAAAGGGATGAGAAGAGTAAAAATTCTAGAAGATATAAACAATAAGGAAGGTAGAAAGAAAATGTAAGAAAAAGAGCACGAAAAACAAAAGCGAACAATCTAAAGGCGGGCGAAATAGAAAGAAAGACAACAGGTTTGGGGCAAAGTTATTGAACTGGCTATAGGAGAGGAGAAAAAAGACAAAATTAAGAGAAAAGGAACGAAAAGGAAGAGAAAAACGGAAGGGAAAAAGGAAATGGGAAAAAGAGAGCGAGGGAGTGGAATCGAAGAAATAGAAAAAGAATGGAAAAGTGGGGAGAGAGAGAGGGAGAGAACATGATAGAGGGGAAGGAAGAAAATGGAGAGTGAGAGAAGAGAAAACAGCTAGAGGGGAAAGAGAAAACGGGAAAGAGTGAGAGAGAAAGAACAAGCTAGTGAGAGACAAAAGACGAAACCTAGAGAGAAACGGAATAGGGGGGGAACTGAGAGGGAGGGGGAGAGAGATAGAGAATGGCAGAGGGCAGAAAGAGGCTAGAAGAAAGAAAGAGTGACAAATTACGAGAGAACAAGCTACAGGCAGGGAGAGAGGGAGAAGGCAAAATGGAGAGACAAGAAAGAAAAAGAGGTGAAAGAAAAAAGAAAATGTGAGGACAGACAAAGAGGGAGAGAATTCAAAAAGATGAAAAGGAAGAGAGACAGAGAGAAAAAGAGAAAAAACAAATAAAAAGAGAGAGGCGTCAAGGAGACGAAAGAACAGAGTAGAGGGAAAGGGAAAGAAGAAGATAGAGGCAGGGAGAGAGAGACATAGAGGGAAAGCAATGTAGGAGAAAAAAGAGGAAAGAAAGGGAGAAAATGTGAATGGGAGGAAAAAAAAGGTCAACATGAGAGACAAGAGTCAAGAACTAGAAACAAGTGGAATATAAGGACTGAAGGAGGGAAAGTAATGAGGAGAATGAAAATATAAGAAATATGATACATTAGGAAGATAGCATAAGACTGGAAGAATGAGACAGCAATTGCAAAATGGTATAAACAAAAGGGGAGGAATCGAAAGAGAACAAGATAGAAGTGGGAAGAAGCGAGAAAAAACGGGTTTGCAGGAAAAGAGACAGGAAATGAAAGTGGACAGAAAAGGCGAAACGGAAAAAAGAATGCGAAAAGTATAGCGAGGGAGTGGCATCAGAAAGATGCAAATACGAGAGATAGAACAATAATAGAAAAGAAGGGAGGAGAAGAAGAAGAAGGAAAACAGGTTAGAAAAGAGAGAGACAGAAAACATGCCAGAAGAGAAGGAAGAAGAGAGAGGAAGACTAGAAAATAACTAAAGGTAGAAGAGAGAAGGGGTAGAGTACGACAGAAAGAACAAGCTAGCGAGAGAATGTGGCAGGTAAAAAGGGAGATCTAGAGAGAAACGGAATAGAAGGGGAACTGAGAGAGCGACAATTTACGGGAGATAAGAGACGAGAGAACAAGCTAGAGGCAGGTAGAAAGAGAGAAGGCAAAATGAAGCGACAGGAAGTGAAAGGAAACAAAAAAAGGTGAAAGAAAAAAGAAAATGTGAGAAGGGAAGAGAGACAAATAGAGAGAGGAATCAATAAAATGAACAGGTAAGAGAGACAAAGACAATAGGAAAGCTAGAAAAGAGTCCAAAAGACAGGGAGAGAGAGAGAGAGAGAACAAGGTACAAGAGAGAATGTACAAACTGAAAGAGGAAGAGCAAAGGAAAAGGGAAAGAAAAAGCTAGATGCGGAGAAAGAAAGTGAAAAGGCGAAAGAAAGGAAAAAAAGGTGAATGGGAAGAAAAAAAAGGTCAACAAATGGAATATAAGGACTGAGGAGAATGTAAATGTAAGAAATATGAGACAATAGGAAAGATAATAGAAGAATGGAAGAAGAAGACAGCAATTGCAAAAGGGTATAAACTAAAGGCTAGAACACAAAAGAGAACAAGCTAGAATTGGGAAGAAGCCAGAAAGAATGGGCTTGAAAGGAAAGAAACAAGAAATGAAAATGGACAGAAAATGCGAAATGGAAAAAGAGAATGCAAAAAGTAAAGCGAGGGAGTGGGATCAGAAAGATAAAAACACGAGAGGGACAATAGGAGAGATAGAACAATTATGGAAAACGAAGGAAAAGAAGAGGGAGACAGGTTAGAATGGAAACACACACAGAGAGAGAGAGGACATGATAGAAGAAAAGGGAGAAGAGGGAGAGAGAGAGAGAGAGAGAGACGAGGAAACAGCTAGAGGGGGAAGAAAGAGCGGGGTAGAGTGCGAAGGAAAGAACAAGCTAGTCAAAGAAAGTGAGAGACAAAAGGCGAAAATCTAGGTAGAAACGGAATAGAAAATAGAAGGGGAACTGAAGGAGAGAGATAGAGAATAGCGGGGGGCAGAAAAAGGATGGAAGAAAGGGGAGAGTGACAAATTACGAGAGAGAACAAAATAGAGGCAGGGAGAGAGAAAGAGAGAGAGAACGAAAAGGCAAAATGAGAGACAGAAAATGAAAAAAAAGAGGAAAAGGTGAAAGAAAAAAGGAAATGTGAGGAGGAAAGAGAGGGAGATAGACGAAGAGCGTGAAGAATCAAGAAGATGAACAGGGAAGGGAGACAGAAACAATAGGAAAGATAGAAAAGAGTGTAAAAGAGAGAGAGGGAGAGGAGCGAAAACAAGCAACAAGAGAGAAAGAAAGAGAGAGAGAGAGAAGAGAGAAAACAGGTTACAAGAGAAAAAGGACAATCTAAAGGAGGAAGAGCACGAGAACCGGGTAGACAGAAAGAGAAAGGAGAAGCTAGAGGTGGGAGAGACAGACACACAAAGAAAGCAATGTGGGAGGGAAAAGACAAAAGAAAGGGAGGAAAAATGAACGAAAGAAAAGAGGTCAATATGAGAGACAAGAGACAAGAACTAAAAACAAACGGAATATAAGAGGGATTGAGAGAGGGAAAGTTATGAGAAAAATGAAAATGTTAGAGACATCAGACAATAGGGAAGACTGAAGAAGAATAGAAGAACAGGAAAGCAATTGCAAGAGGGTATAGACAAAAGACGAGGAGACAAAAGGGAACAAGTGAGAAAAAATTGGGGAAAAACGCAGGAGACAGAACAGACTACAAGAAATGAAAGGAAGCAGAAAAGGCGAAAAGGAAAAAAAGAATGCGGAAAGTAGAAAGAGGGAGATAGACGGAGAGGAAGTGGGATCGAGAAGTTTAAAATCAAAGAGAGAGGGAAATAGAATCTGAAGAAAGAGAGAAAGAGGGAGATAAAATGCAAGATGGGAAGATAAAAAAGGTCAAACTGAGAGACAAAAGGTCAGAACTAAAGGGAAACGGAATAGAAGAGGAAATGAGGGAATAGGAAGAATGGGGGAAGATGAAAATGGTAGAGGGTTATAAGCAAGAGTGGAGGTGGAAAGAGAATGGATAGAGAAAGCGAAATAGCAAAAAGGGGGAAACAAAAAGGTTGGGGGCCGAAAGAGACGGAACTGGCTAGAGACCGACGGAGAAAAAGGAAAATAGAGAGAGAAAAAACGAAAGGGAAGAATGAAATGCGAAAAGGAGAAACAGAAAGTCGAATCAACAAGAAGAAAATGCGAGAGAGACAAGAGACCAAATTAGAGGAGGGAGTGCAGAAAAGGGGAACAGGGTAGAGAGAAAGAGGAAGAACAAACTAGAAGGAGAGAGAGAGAGAGAGGACAAGGTGGAGAGAAGCTGAGAAGCAGAAGAGGAAAAGAGACAATAGGATAGGAGAGGTGAACGGAGAATGGAAAAGGGGGAGAGTGAGAAACTATGAGAAGGAATAGATAAATGGGCCGAGAGGAATCACGCATAATCGCGGTAGAAGAAACGGAAGGAGGAAAGGGAAAAGAAAATGAGATAGAGGGAGACAGACCGAGAGGGAGTGGGTTCGAAATTGAAAATCAGAGAGAAAAAAAGAGAACGCTAGTTAGAAATAAAAGAAAGAAACAACAGGATAGAAGGGAAGAGACAACAACAAAATGGAAGAAGGAGAGCGAAAAATTCAAATGGTGAAGGGATGGAAACAATAGGGGAGGTAGAAAGGAAATGAAAGAGAGAGAGCATGAGAAAATAAAAACCTTCAAATGTTAGAAAAGAGATACTATTTTGACTGTTGTTCTTCAAATTAGTTACAATTAAAGTTTTCAACAAAAAAAAAACAACGTTTTTAACCAATCAGAAACATTTTATGGTGAAAATAATTCCATAAGTAGTTCTTAAATTGGATATCTCTAGACTGTATATGGGTCATACTAATAATGGGTCTGGTATAAGCGTGCCGCCGTTAACTCACGAATGTGAAACTTAACGACACGAAGGCCAAAAGGCTAATCTGTGAGCACTCACATAATAGCTATAAGCTCGCACTAAAATCGCCAAATCTGTCATCCCTGCAAAACTACACCGGCCACAATTTTTGCGGAGTTCAACGACTTTTTTTTAGAATATTTATTGTGAAATCAGTGAACGAAATTCCACCAAAAACGTGAATTCCTAATTTTGCACTCTATTAACCTTGTATCTCTCGTGTGTAAAACACCTATATTACGCTGGTATTAGTCATAGTCACGACGGCTCGTAAAATACAACTTTCCGGACTAGTGACGTAAATAATTACGACAGATTTTTTCACTCATCAAGCTAACAACTTTTACGATTTCACGCACGTAAAAATTTTACAAATTTAAAAAAAAAATCAAAACCGGAAACGAATGTGCCAACTACCCCTAGTATGTGCCATCATACGATTTATTATTATTACATAGAAAAGCGTTGCAATAAGTGCAGCAGCTTACCCAAAATTCCAAAAACCATGCACTTCCCCCACAAATGCACAACTCACCCTTTTCAACCCTTCACACCGATTTCTCAAAGAAACTGAAACAACCCTAGCGGCGAAAACGCGGGGTTATTGACTCGCTTTCTACTACCTCCTGACCACGTTATAGACTGACCACAACATAAACACGCAATGCGGGTTATCTAGACACAAAGGAGCGAGGGGTAATTATTCAAAAAGAAAACAGGAAACTACTATCTTCTGTTTGGTCTGAATTTTGAATTATTAATAACCACAGTTCGACGCTAAATGGGTGAATTGTTGATTGAAGGTATGGATTATGATACTACGAGTGTGGAAATGAACCTAATAAATAGTGTGTTTAATAAATGACGAGCGACGAAAGTTGACGGGTTAATGCACTTTCACCTAAAAAAGTGGGCCACGACGCCGAAATGAAACGAAAAAAATGGGAGGGGTGGATAAGCAAATCGCGGGGTTTGTTGGTTCGTTTTCGTCGGGTTTAATGCTTGAGCTTGGTGCGTAAT